ATGGACTCAAGATTTCTTTTTGGAGTGATAGAAATCTAAATTTGATTGTGGTGATGGTTGCCCAAAAAAAAAAAAAAAAAAGCAATGAAGATATATACTACACAATCCTGCAATAACAGTAATAATGATATATGAGTGGATACATAAATAGACAAACAAGCTGAAAAGATGTGGGAAGCTGAATGGGACTATATCTGTGAATTTATATAGATTTGACAGAGAAAAAATAAATTTGTTTTAAAACAAAAAACACTGCCATCAAGTCAATTCTGACCTAGGACAACCTCATTTGTTACAGAGTGGAACTGTTCCATAGAATTTTCTGGGCTGTAATCTTATACAAGCATATCACCAGGCCATTCTTGTGTAATACCGCTGGGTGAGTTGGAACCACCAACCTTTAGATTAGTAGTCATGTGCAAACCATTTTCACCACTCAGAGACCTTGGTGATGGTTTCACAACTCAGTAAGCGTATTAGAAATCATTGGATTGTACTCTTTAAAATGAATAAATTTTATGATATGTACATTATACTTCAAGAAACTTACTTAAAAAAAAACTGAAGGGAAAATTTTGTGTTATAATTGTGTCATTTTTCTCTATGTTAATCTTTTTTTTTAATTGTGATTTTGGTGAAAGTTGACAGAGCAAATTCATTTTCCATACAGCAGTTCGCATACACGTTGTCTGATGACATTGACAGTTTACCCCAATGCAACACCTCCCCTCCCACTTCCTCTCAATAGTTACCTCTTCCCTGTGTCCATCCTTCCCTGCACTCCTGCCCCCTGAACTGTCTCCCTGTGCATAAACAGCCCTTCTTTCTCCCATGATTGTTTTCTCCATGGGATGTATCTACCTCAGGTACATGTTCAACTCTTATGCCTGTCTTTTATTTGGCTGGAAGCCACAGGTGTACATTCAATTCCAGACCTGAAGGGCAGCTAGGGATCATAGTCTCACTGGTTCTATCAGGCTCTATCGGACCAGGCTCTATCAGACCAGAAAACCTGGTCTCTCTCTTTTTTTTTCCAAATGATTTTGAGTTTTGTTCCACATTATTCTCCTTTTCTATCCAGGATCTCCTACATAGATCCCCCACTGAGTGGTTGACAGTCATAGCTGGCCATCATCTAGTTCTTGTGGTCTCATAGTCATATAAGCTGAGGATCACATGATGTACCAGTCGCTTGGACTAATTGTTTCCATGAATCTTTGGTTTTCTTCATTCTTTTTTGCTCTGGACTAGGAGAGACCCATTGTTGCATCTAGATGGCTGCTTGTAAGCTTTTAAGATCCCAGTCGCTACTTGCCAAAGTAGGAGGTGGAACAATGTTTTGTGTAGTATGTTATGCCAATTGAGCTTGATGTCCCCTGTGACTATGGTCCCCAGCCCACAGATTCAACTACTCAGTCCCTCTGTGTAGCTGGCTGTGACCAAAGTGACTACAACCTTGTCCCTTGTCAGCTCTACTATACCCCTGGGAGTTCTTACAGAACATACACATATACTTGTAGAACCATTGTCTGCCAACCCTATACATGGTCTTGGGTACACTCCCTGCTGCATAGACATACCTAATAGTTCAGCCTGTCTACCCATCTTTCCACCCATATACCCATGTTTGCCTTCTCTGACAACACAGTACTGTATGTGCAAAAGGGTTCATCTTTGTTGTCTGTACCTCCCATGTACCTCTCTATGTCTTCCTCTTCCTTAATGCCACTATGTTGATCACTCACATTTGGTACATTGCCCTTCACCCAAATCAATACTTATGTCTACCTATCTAACAGTGTTCCCTACCCTACCCTCCCACCCCTGGTAACCAACAAAGAAAATTTCCTTCAATATGTAAACCATTCCTTGACTAATACAATATTTGTCCTTCTGTGATTGACTTATTTCACTCAGCATAATGTCCTCCAAGTTCATCCATGTTACACGGTGATTTGCAGATTCTTTAGGGTTGCATAGTATTCTATTATGTGTATGTACCAGTTTGGTTATCCATTCCTCAGTTGATGGACACCTAGATTATTTCCAACTTTTTGCTATCCTACATTAATCTTTAATGTCAGTGCATTTCCCTAACTGTTTGTTTTGAAGTTGATAAAATGATTCTAATATTTATATGGAGCCTGTGAGAGTAACCAGGAAACCTCTGGAAGAGTAGTGCCTATTTAAAGAATGAAGTAGGAACTATTTACCAGCCCATCATAAAGATATAGTTATTTAAATAATTGAGTATTGGGACATGATGTGACATTACAGATCATTAAAACAGAATGGAGAATCCAGAAATTGACCTACATACATATAAGGCACATAACATATGTTGAATGGGGCATTTCAAATGGATTATAAAATAAGATGTATTCCTACAAATGACTAGCCACCTGGAAAAAATAAATCTAGAGCTTTCATCTTTTAAACCAAAGTAAATTACAAATGGATCAAATATTTGTACATACAAATTGAAAATATAAATGTTTCAAATTTAAAAAGAAAGAATTTCAAAATAACCTTTCAGTAGACAAGTCCTTTCTAACCAAGGCATAAAACTCAAAACCCATAAAAGAAGAAAATTGATAAAAGGGACTACTATGTAAAAGTTTTAAATTCTGTACAGCAATTTTTTATACAGCAATTTGGCAATATCCATTAAAATTTACTTGTCATACCCTTTGATGCAGCAAAGCTATTTCTATGAGTTTATCCTTGAAAATACAGTGTTCACAGTTCCCCAAACTGTGTGTGTGTGTATGTACATATAAAAGTGTATATTTAAAAGCACTTCCATTATGGTATTTTTCTTAATGGCAAAAATATGGAAACAACTCAAATGCCCATCAATAGGTAAGGAATTTAGTAAATTATGGTGTATTTATGTGATTCAATATGACAGACAGCCATTAGAAAGAATGAGAAAGATCACTATGTACTAACAATGAAAAAATGGACAAAATGTATTTTTAAGGGGGTTGGGAAGTGATAAGAAAAAAGATACGTGTGGTATGTTTAGCTTTGGATACATTTAAAAATAAATATAGATACGACTTTATATACCCAAACACATATATATACCTGCATACGTGTTTAATGAAAGCTGGATTCAAAAGAGGATGTGGAACGAGAAATATCATTGCTGATGTCAAATGGATGTTAGCTGAAAGCAAAGAATATCAGAGATTTACCTGTGTTTTATTGACTATGTAAAAGCATTCAACTCTGGATCATAACAAATGATGAATAACATTGTGAACAATGGGAATTCCAGAACACTTAATTTTGCTCAGGATGAACCTGTACAAAGACCAAGGAGCTGTCATTTCAATAGAACAAGGGAATACTGCATGGTTTAAAATCAGGAAGAGTGTATGTCAGGGTTGTATCCTTTCACCGTATTTATTCAATCTATATGCTGAGCAAATAATCCAAGAAGCTGGACTGTATGAAAAAGACATGGCATCAGGATTGGAGGAAGACTTATTAACAACCTAAGATATGCAGATGACACAGCCTTGCTTGCTGAAAGTGAGGATGACTAGAAACACTTACTGATGAAGATCAAAGGCTACAGTCTTCCATATGGATTGCACCTTCACATAAACAAAATCCTCACAACTGGATCAATACACATCATCATAATAAATGGAGAAAATATTGAAGCTGTCAAAAATTTCATTTTGCTTTGATCCATAGTCAGCACCCATTGGAGCAGCAGTTAAGAAATCAGATGTCAAAAAAAAAAAAATCATATGGTGTATGCACTGAGCATATCTGCTGCAAAAGACCTCTTTAAAGTAATAAGAAGCAAAAATGTCACTTTGAAGACTAATGTGTGGCTAAACCAAGCCATGGTATTTTCAGTCACCTTATATTCATGTGAAAGCTGGACAATGAATAAGGAAGACTGAAGAAGTTTATGCTTTTGAGTTGTGATGTTGATGAAGAATACTGAAAATACCATGGACCATCGCAAGAATGAACAAATCTGTCCTGGAGGAAGTGCAGCTGGAATGCTCCTTGGAAGTGAGAATGGCCAGACTTCATCTCACCTATTTTCGTCATGGGATCAGAAGGGACCAGTCCTTGGAGAAGGAAGCATGGTAAAGAGGAATACCCTCAATGTGATGGATTGACACAGTGGCTGCAACGATGGCTCAAGCATTGCAAGGACTGTGAGAATGGCACAGGACAGGGCAATATTTCGTTCTGTTGTACATGGGATCATTATGAATCAGAGTGGACTTGACAGCACCTAACAACAGCAACAACATGTATAAGATTTAAAACATTTTCTTATACAAAACACCAGAAACTATTAACTAACAGACATTGCCTTGGGAGAGGGACTTAGACAGGTAATGGGAGAAGCAGAAAATAATATCTCCATTTTTTACCTTCTACCATTTGTTATTTTTAACCATGTACTTTTTTTGTTGTCGTTGTCTGTTTAATGTTAACAGGGGTTACTTGGGCTGTAGGATAATTATTTATTTTCTCTGCATTTTTCTGTTTTTTTTTTTTTTTAATTAATAAACTGTCATTTTTAGTTAACAGAAATATAATGATCCACGTTAGTAAATTCTCTTTTATTCCATTCATTGTAGGTTTCCCAGGCAATCAGTTATATCACCTCTCTAGCTATATTATTGATACAACTTTTTAACTACATAATTTGTTTACTTCAGTAAAATTGCTTGTTGTGATAGCTTAAGATGCCAGCTTGATACAAATGAATTTAGTGTCTCCTTGCAATATTACTAGAATGTTATGGCTATCCCTGGATTTTCCCATATTTTGGTCCTTAGCATATTACATCTGGAAGTAGAATAATGGAAAAAGGGGGTCGGATTAAATTTCACATTTTATGAAGAAATCAAATATATTTTCAATAAGTACCTGTGTTGATCTGTTGAGTTCTCTTGAGATTGTATATATAAATTGTCTCTCCTATTCTTATATCCTTAGAAATGTACAGGAATCCAAGTATGACTGAGATTGAGCAGGCGGAAGCCCAGCTCTCTGAGTTAGAACTGCTGGCTAGTATGTTTCCCAGTGAGAATGATTTCATAGTTAATGACCAGCTGGCTTTAGCTGAATTGAAAGATTGTATTGAAAAGAAGACCATGGAGGGGAGATCTTCAAAAATTTACTTTACTGTCAATATCAACTTAGATGTATCCAAGGAAACAATGGTAATTCATTTTTGTTTCTGAAATAATAGAAACATGGCAAGACTTAAAACAATGCTTAGACCATATTTCTCCTTTTTCACCAGGTCATGTTTTCATTGGCCTGTATTCTTCCTTTCAAATACCCTGCAGTTCTGCCTGAAATCACTGTCAGGTATGTTGCAGAAGCTCTGGTCAAACTTAGAGCTGAAAAATTAATCTGAGACTAGAAGCAATTCTTGTTTCTATTTTGCTCCAAGAAAAACTGATTTAATTTTTTCCTGTCTTTTCCATCAGATCAGTATTATTAAGTAGATCCCAACAGACTCAGCTGAACACAGATCTGAATGCATACCTGCAAAAGAACTGTTGTGGAGATGTCTGTGTATGGAATGCCACAGAGTGGGTTAGAGAGCATGCTTCTGACTATGTCAGCAGAGATGCCACAACTTCTGGCACCATAGGAAATACAGCTCAGTCACTTGATCTCATTCTCACACGACTCTGGATCTATAGCCATCACATATACAACAAGTGCAAAAGAAAGAATATTCTAGAATGGGCGAAGGAGCTTTCCCTGTCTGGGTTTAGTATGCCAGGGAAGCCTGGTGTTGTTTGTGTGGAAGGCCCACAAAGTGCCTGCGAAGAATTCTGGTCAAGGTTTGCTTGCACATACTTTATATATTGGGTCATTAATTTTAGTATTAAACAAGATAGTAGAGATGTGGAAATTAGTATGTCTTTGGGGTTGTGTCTTCATAGGTATTCAATCTCAAGTCAATAATTCATAAGGAAGAAATAACATATAGTCAACATATAGTCCCTTTACCTGACACAGTGCACATAGAAATCATTCTGTAAATATTGAATGAATTAAGCTCTTGAACAAGATAACGGTCTATATTCCTATCTGTTTCCATAGATCTAATTTTTCCTTCATCTTAGAGATGCTGTAAGATGTATGTATTGTGAAACAAGGGGGCTTCTAAGACCATTAGAAATTCTGCTCATCTTCCCATTTCTCTATCGATACCCTAAATGAGTTTCCGAGAAGTCCCTTTGATAGTTTGAGATTCAACAGTTCTACATGTCTAAGATGTTTATACCAGTCAGTAAAATTTGTTGGGAACGTTTCTTTTCAGACTCAGAAAATTAAACTGGAAGAGAATTTTAATTCGCCATCGAGAAGACATTCCCTTTGATGGTACAAATGATGAACTGAGACGACAAAGAAAATTTTCAATTTTTGAAGAGAAGGTGTTCAGTGCTACTAGACCCCGAGGAAACCACATGGACTTTGGTCAGCTGTATCAGTTTTTAAATGCCAAAGGATGTGGGGACGTTTTCCAAATGTTCTTTGGTGTGGAAGGACAGTGAGTGAGCAGAGGAATAGTTGAAAGTATTTTGTCACTGTTGACCTCTTAATTTTTCCCACTTTTTCTTAAAAGATTAAGTAATTTTCTTTTAGTTCCATCCTAGAAAATGAGAGAGAAGAAAAGAATAAAAGGAAAAAGAAGATCCATAAAATAGAACTGTTAAAAATATGTGAAATGTATGATAATGAGAAAGCATAAGCACAATGGAAAGCAGAGCTGAGTTTCAAATTGTAATCTTAAAAGTGTCTAGAAATTTCTTGACAAATAAAATACTCATTAAGGGAAAAAGTCACTCAGCCTAGGGGCTTAGGGCCATAGTCACTTGGGGTACACTGGTCAATTGGCATAACAGTCCACAAAAACAATGTTCTACATCCTATTTTAGTGACTGGCCTCTTAAAAGCTTGTGAGCAGCCATCTAAGGTTCAACTATTGGCCTCTATCCATCCAGAGCAAAGAGTAGTGAAGAAAATCAAAGATGCAAGGAAACAATTAGTCCAAAGGACTAATTGACCACATGAACCCCAGCCACCGCAAACCTGACTCCAGAAGAACTAGATGGTGTCCAACTACCAATGCTGACTGCTCTGAAAGGGATCACAATGGGATGTCCTAGATAGAGTGGGTGAAAAGTGTGGAACAAAATTCAAAATCATGAAAAAAAAAAGACCAGGTTTACTTGTCTGGTAAGAGGCTCTGTAACCTCTGAGACTATATGGCCCTTAGACATCCTTCACGCCTGAAACTGAACTCACCCCATAGCCTCAACTTTTAGCCAAACAGTAGAAAGAATTATAAAGTAAACAATTACACCAGGGAGGTATACATTCATTAGATCAATCAATCATACAGATCAAAAGTATAGCATTTGCCCAGGGATAAAGCTCAGAAGGTAGGAAGGCTTAGGAAAGAAGGAAAAAGGGAAATGAGAAGAGCGTTGTTACATTGTGTGACAGTAAGTGTCAGAAAACAAAATGTGTATGAGTCATACCTGAGAGAGGTAATTTTGGTGGTCTAACTCATCACCCGTTATCCACAGAAGAGCCTGGAAAAGCTCAAGTCTCACTTCCAGCTTCTGTTACAGTTTGGGGTGGCCTCAGCACACAACTTTGGCTAGAAGACTTCTGGGAAAGCTTTTACTTTCATGGTTAAAGTGACAGATATAGCTAAGCCATGTTTTCCCCTCTTTCTGCCACAATCACCAAAGTAATGACTGGAGCAAGGAAAGAAAAGGCCAAGAGAACCACAGAGATGCCAGAATTTGCATTGCTGAGCTGAGATCCAACACCAGTCCTTGCCTGTCTCTAGATGTCTTCTTATGAAATAAAACACGTTTTGTTTAACTTTCTGTGCCTGTTGTTGTTACTGTTAGGTGCCATTCAGTTAGCTCCGACACATAGCAACCCTATGGACATCAGAATGAAACACTGCCCAGTCCTGCGCCATCCTCATTATCTTCACCATGCTTGAGCCAATCATTGTAGCCACTGTGTCAATCCATCTTGTTGATGGTCTTCCTCTTTAGTTGCTAATCCTACGTTGTATGTGCTGTCGAGTCAGACCCGACTCATAGCGACCCCTACTTGGGTTTCTGAGGCAGTATCACTATGGAAGTAGATTGCCCCATCTTCCTTCCGAGGAGTGGCTGATGGGTTTGAACCACAAACCTTCTGATTAGCAGTCAAGTGCCTTAGGCACTATGCTACCAGAGCTCCCTGCTAATCCTATACTCAACATGATATCCTTCTCCAGGGGCTGGTCTCTTCTGACAACCTAACCAAAGTATGTAGATGAAGCCTGGCCATTCTTGCTTCTAAGTGTTATTCCAGCTGTACTTCTTCCAAGACGTTTACTTGTTCTTCTGGCAGTCCACGAAATTTTTAATATTCTTCATCAACACCACAATTCAAATGCATCAGTTCTTCAGTCTTCCTTACTCATTGTTCACTTTTCACATGCATATGGGGCTATTCAAAATACCATACCTTGGGTCAGGCAAAAGTTAGTCTTCAAAATGACATCTTTGCTCTATAATACGTTAAAGAGGCCTTTTGCAGTAGATTTGCCTAGTACAATACATCCTCTGATTTCTTGATTGCTAATTCCATGAGTGTTGATTGTGGATCCAAGTAAAATTATATCCCTGACAACTTCAATCTTTTCTCCATTTATCACAATGTTGTTAATTGGTCCAGTTGTGAGGATTTTTTGTTTTCCTTATGTTGAGGTTTCATCCATACTAAAGGCTGTATAGTCTTGGCTCTTAATCAGTAAGTGCTTCAAGTCATCTTCACTTTCAGCAAGCAAGGTTGTGTCATCTGCATATATCAGGTTGTTGAGTCTTCCTCCAATCCTGATGCCATGTTCTTCATATAGCCCAGCTTCTCGAATAATTTGCTCATTGTGCAGATTGAATGAGTAAGTTGTTGTTGTTAGGTGCTATCGAGTCGTCTCCGACTCAGCAACCCTATGCACAGCAGAACAAAACACTACCAGGTCCGCACACTTCCACAATCCTTGCTATAGTTGAGCCCATTGATGCAGCCACTGTGTCAATCCATCTCGTTGAGGGCCTTCCCCTCTTTTGTCGACCCTCTACCTTACCAAGCATGACATCCTTCTCCAGGGAATGGTACCTTCTGACAATGTGACCAAAGTAGGTGTGATGAAGTCTGGCCATTCTCGCTTCCAAGGAGCATTCTGGCTGCACTTCCTCCAGGACAGATTTTTTAGTTCTTTTAGTAATCCATGGTACTTTCAGCATTCTTTGCCAACACCACAACTCAAAAGCATCAACTCTTCTTCAGTCTTCCTTATTCATTACCCAACTCTCACGTGCATATGAGGCAATTGAAAATACTATGGCTTGGGTCAGGTTTACCTTAGTCCTCAAGGGGACACCTTTGCTCTTCAGCACTTGAAAGAGGTCCTTTGCAGCCGATTTGCCCAGTGCTATACATCATCTGATGTCCTGATTTCTGCTTCCATTGGTGTTGAGTGTAGAACCAAGCAATGTGAATGAAGTCTCTGACAACTTCAATCTTTTCTTCATTTATCATGATGTTGCTTATTGGTCCAGTGGTGAGGATTTTTGTTTTCTTTATATTGAGATGTAATCCATACTGCAGACTGTATTCTTTAATCTCCATCATTAAGTGCCTCAAGTTATCCTCACTTTCAGCAAGCAAAGTTGTGTCGTCAGCATATCTCAGGGTGTTAATGAGTCTTCCTCCAATCCTGATGCCACGTTCTTCATATAGTCCAGCTTCTCAGATTATCTGCTCAGCATACAGATTGAACAAGTATGGTGAAAGGATGCAACCCTGATGTACTCCCTTCTTGATTTTAAACCATGCAGTGTACCTTTGCTCTGTTCGAACAACAGCTTCCTGGTCTATGTACAGGTTTCTCATGAGTACAATCAAGTGTTCTGGAATTCCCATTCTTCTCAATGTTACCCATAATTTGTTATGATGCACACAATCAAATCCTTTTGCATAGTCTTTAAAACACAAGTAAACATCTTTCTGGTATTCTTTGCTTTGAACTAAGATCCATATGACATCAGCAATCTTATCCCTAATTCCATGTCCTCTCCTTGAAACCAGCTTGCATTTCTGGAAGTTCTCTGTCAATATACTGCTGCAATCATTTTTGAATTATTTTCAGTAAGATCTTACTTGGGTGTGATATTAATGATATTGTTCAATAATTTCCACATTCTGTGGGATCACCTTTCTTTGGAATGGGTACAAATATGGATGTCTTCCAGTCAGTTGACCAGATAACTGTCTTCCAAATCTCTAGGCATGGCCGAATGAGTGCCTCCAATGGGGCATCCATTTGTTGAAACATCTCAATGGGGATTCTGTAAATTCCTGGAGCCTTGTTCTTCACCAATTCCTTCAGTGTGGCTTTAACTTCTTCCTTCAGTACCAATGGTTCTTGCTCATATGCCACCTCAGCAAGCAAAGTTGTGTCATTCTGAAATGGATGAAGATCTACCAGTCCTTTTTGGTACAGTGACTTACTGTATTCCCTCTATCTTCTTTTGATGCTTCCTGCATCATTCAATGTATTGCCCATAGAATCTTTCAATATTGCAACTCAAAGCTTAAATTTTTTCCTCAGTTCTTTCAGCTTGAGAAATGCCGAGCCTGTATCTTCCCTTTTGGTTTTCTAACTCCAGATCATTGCACATTTCATTACAGTAATTGGCTTTGTCTGTTTGAGCTACTCTTTGAAATTGTTTGTTTAGCTCTTTTTATCTTGTCATTTCTTCCATTTGCTTTAGCTACTCTCTGCTCAAGGGCAAGTTTCAGAGTCTCTTCTGACATCCATTTTGGTCTTTTCTTGTCTTTTTAATGACCTCTTGCTTTCTTCATGGATGATGTGCTTGATGCCATCCCACAATTCTGGTTTTTGGTCATTGGTGTTCAGTGGATCAAATCTGTTCTTTAGATGGTCTCTAAATTCAGGAGGGATATATTCAAGGTTATATTTTGGCTCTTGTGGACTTGCCTTAATTGTCTTCAGCTTCAACTTGAACTTGCATAGGAGCAGTTGATGGTCTGTTCCACAATCGGCTCCTGGCCTTATTTTGGCTGAAGATACTGAGCTTCTCCATTGCTTCTTGCCACAGATGTAGTCACTGATTCCTGTGTACTACATCTAGTGAGGTCCACGTATATAGCCACTGTTTGTGTTGTTGAAAAAAGGTGTTTGCAATGAATAAGTCATTGGTCTTGCAAAATTCTATCATGCAATCATCAGTGTTATTTCTGTCACCAAGGCCAAATTTTCCAACTACTAGTGATTCTTCTTTGTTTCTGACTTTTGAATTCCAGTCACCAGTGATAATGAACACATCTTGATTGCACATTCGGTCAATTTCAGACTGCAGAAGTTGATAAAAATCTTCAATTTCTTCATCTTTGGCTTGGTGGTTGGTGTGTAAATTTGAATACTAGCAGTATTAACTGGTCTTCCTTATAGGCATAT